GTGCAGCGAACATGTCTTTTTTTTTTTTTTTTTTTTCTATGTAATGGCTTGCCAGTGTAAAATGCATAAATGTTCTGAAAAATAAAGGTCAGGGATGCCAGTGTACCCCCATTTTGCCCCTTCTGACTAGGAAGCGATCATAGGTGGGAAAGTGCCTCTGGTGGTAATTATGAGGTAGATAAGAGGAATACAGATATTTATGAGTTGGAATTACCTTGGTTAGAGGAAATTTAACCCAGGTCTGTCACTCAGCACCCTAGTGAGCACCCTAGTTGATAGGCTATTATATTTGGTTGGACTAGTGCCAGTCTTTTGAGGGACAATGATAGGTGTACACTGAACTTAATGCTTCAATTATGTGTTATTCAGGAATCACACAGTGTTTCTTCCAACTACACTGAAGTAATCTCGATACCTGAGAGCTGTAGGGACCTTCCCAGTTCCAAATGTGCTTGCCAGAATACTCCACTGCTTACAGAACTAGGTGGTCATGGGTGATGAGTAGGTGACATTTTTTTTCCACACCTAACTCACTCCTCTGGGGCTTGAGCAATATTTAGCATTTAAGCAGTATTTAGACACAGCCATTTAGAGTACTAAAGTTAGTGCTGCCATTTGCATGGGTGAAGGTAAAATGGATTACATTCTGTATAAATGTTTAAGATTTTTCCATACTGACAGTAAATTTCTTAACTGGTTAAAGACAATTCTTCTGTGACTTTAATTATCTCTGTAAAAGCTAAATAACTAAATAGATTAGTAGATGTATGAAATAATTGTTACGCTTTTAAGCTTCTGGATGCTTTGTGATTAAAAAAAATAGGCAAGAGATCTTTTCTTTCTATTTTAATTTTCTCTGAATCTTCTTACAAAAGGCTTTTTAAGACATAAGTATGAACATTAAGTTAGCTGTCTGTGACTGACCAACCGATGTTGTCTATGGCAGAAGTTCACAAGCTGTGCCTCTGTAAAGCAGCATGCCAACACTGCCTGAGGAGCCAATATTGAAAAATGCTTCTACCCCAGCATTAACAGAAGTGAAAAATTTGGGAAGCCTGGACCAGGGTGAATATTTCTCCATATTGTCAGCTAACCCTACTGTAGCCATGGTTTGGTTGTGTTTAATTGGATGATTTGCTCAAGGAACTGGGCTGAAAAATTCCATGGCTAACATGATTTGAATGGAAGAAATTTTATAATGAAGAACCCATTCATCTGTGTAGTTACTACCTCTCCCTGTGCTTAATGGTTTCTTGCATTTTATTATTTGCCTTTTTTTTTTTAAATTTTTTTTTTTTTGATGATTTCTCTTTAATTATGATTCGGGTTGTTTTCAGTACAAACTAGATATTTGGAAATGTCCAGACTTTCCAATGTTTGGCTTATTTAGGAATGCGGTATTCCCCTTGCTGCTTTCCACTTAAGCATTTAGCTTAACATTAACAAGCATGATTGAGTATCTTAGATAGCATACTGTGAAAAAGATGCTAAAGCACTCATTCAGCAGCCTTTGTCAAACCTCTAGATCTGAAGGATGGCTTTCAACTCATTGGGTGGCTAGCTAAGTCTCTAAAATGCTATTAACTGAAATTATAGATTGTGGCTTATAAGCAATAATAAAAATCATTTGCAGAATGATCAAAAGTGTATACTTGAAATCTTTAATTTGAATTATCCTTTCTAGTAATTTTTTTCTCTTTCACAAAAGCAACTTAAATATTCAGTATTTAAGAGATTTCAGAAAATAAAAACGAATAATTCTTGAGCTAAAATAGGAAGAGGCACTTTGGTATACAGGTCTGCCTCCTGTCCACCATGTATCTTCAATTTAATGCTGGTAGATGATGTGTGACTAAATCCTTTGGCCAGCTTTGAAAATCCCGTTTTTGCTTAGAATTAATTACATATGGAAATCTGTTATGAGTACTGTAGAGGTAACTTTCATTTATGCTCAATAAAGTGTAAAACTGGAATTTATTGTTTAAGCTTCCCTTTTGTTCTGTCCTTGATTTAATTCAGTCTATTCAAGTTTTGCTCAAACAGCAGGTTTGGTCATTAGTAAATAACACAAAAATAGCTTAGCTCTTTGATCTATACAGTCCTTACATACAATGTGCCTGTAGGCATGTGTAATATAAATATTTGTAAGTGCAAATAATTAAAAGATTTTGGATAGTAGGCATGTTGAAACTAGCAGTATTTTGCAGATTTTCAGTTCCTGTTAGATGACACAGGGAACAAAAAGGAAAGAAAAACCTCAAATCATCTCAAAATTTACAAAACATTTGTTTTTAATAGCAGCTATAATAATTACTGTGCTTTAAAATCACATTATTTACATAGAAAAAAAGTGTAGTCTTACTTATTTGCATAATTATAAAATGTGTAGTTATTTTAAGGGTCATGTATGGGTTGTCTCTAGATCCAGAAGTGTGAAAATTGACAAGATACATCAGAGTTCTGGTTTTATCTGGAGTGTGATGCCGCTTTTATTAGTATTACTCAGTCACTCTGGCAAATAAAGTATTTCCAATTAAAGAGGTTTTTTATTTTTTTTATTATTAAGACTGTTAGGTTAAACATTGTCCTATGACAGTGACACAAGTTAGTGAACAAATCTCATTTTCCTTTTACATACTACTCAGTATTGAGGAACCCAACAAAGAAATGGACAATTTTTTGGCATGAACTTCATCTCCAAAGCACACATAAGGGATACACTCCTGAACACTAACCAGTGTAACTGCTAGTGTACTGTTTAAAGGTAGAACTACTTTTTCTTAATTCTTAAAAGCAGTATAGTTAGTCCATTTTGGAGCTGGTTGTCATTAATCTCTTGTCTTTTTTATAACAGTTCCAAAAATCATAACAGGGAAGTTAGCTTGAGGTCCACTTCGGTTTCCTCTGTGATTTTGGAGCTTATGTGAGGAGAGAAGAGATGTTTCTCTGACCACTTAAAGCTAGCTTTTAACATTGAGCTCTTATACATTGCAAGGAGCTCTCAAAGGTCCTTTCAGAGACTAGCAGCATCTTTGTTGCATCTTTTCAGCGATTCAGTTGTTCATATATGTATAACTAGAAAGCTTTGCATAGCATAATATACAGAGGTTTTGTAAGAAAGAGTGTTAAGTAGCTAACTTCCAAATAGGTACTTATTCTCAATTCTTCACATAGGTAATTATTCTCAATAATTATTTGTACAAATATTAAACTAAGATTATTTCTAAATGCTAGTTATGTTGAAGCAAGGTGCATTTTCAAAAGACATGTTGCATATTTATTGTGTACTTTGTGTAGGATAGTTTTGATTTCTTTGTGTGTAAGTCAACCCATTGTCAGGATCCTGTGGTGTCTGAAGATGCAGTTTAGGGAAAGCCAAATGCAGGCTTCACCAAAAGGTCAATCCTGGCTTGTCCCATCTATAACAGAGCATTTCTACTGTCTCAGTTCCCTGGATCAGAAAGCTGGTCTGCCTGAAAAATAACACAGGCAAACAAAAATGAAAGTTGTCTGCCTGGTACAGCTGGCTAAACCATCTCACCGGTGCCGGTGCAAGACATAGAGGGAGGAGGCTGGATTGTCTTTTCCAGAAGCAGCCCACGCTGATTTTGCCTAAATGAGTCAGGAAGCCATATTCTAAGAAAGCAAATGACCAGTTTTACTTGAGAAGTAAGATGCATACAAGATTTAAGATATATAAGAGAGACATTTACTTGTGATTTAACAGCTTTAGGTAAAGTGCCTGGCAATGCTCCATCATGTTTATGTAGCTTCCAAGCAACCTTTATCATCATGCTTTCTTAGCCCCTCTAGGTTACTATAATGACACTCACTCTTTTAAATCTGTGATTTTGTCTCTTTGCTCTCCTAGAGAGTTTCATCTATGTTGTTTGATATGCTTTGGTCCTAAATTGAAAGGTTGGATAGTGTTTGAAGGCAAGGCTGGAGATAAGAGCTCACTACCTGTCACAGGGAACAGACAGGGCTGAGATGTATCTTGGTTTGTGCAAAAGCAAATTCTGGTTTCAGTCCTGCCCTCTTGAAGGCTCAGGAGCCTGCACAGGCAAATTCCATGCTCACAGTAAACGTACACCATCATGGGCTCTTGCTGACAGCTTTAGTCAGCTGGCACAAGAAGCTTCACAACCCGAGGCAACTTTCGATTATCCATAACTTAAATGCTTTAACATTCTGGAGATAAAGATCTGCAGCTTAAACTTGGCACAGGGCTCTGTGGGAAACCAGCAAAGCACAAGGAACAACAGAAGGCGAGGAAGTTCAGGCAGTGTAGCCAAGGAGACACCCAGGTGCATCGCAGCTAGTTATCTGGTGGTTTTCTGGCTGAATCTCACAAGCCTGTGTGAGTACATTGCATTGCTGTTCCTTATACGATTTAGGAAGAAAATGTAGTACCAAAGCCAAGCTGCTGCTCCTGAGAGGCCAGGGCATGTCAGTTAGAGAAAATGTATTTGGGCGGAGTCCAGTTGTGGTTTATTTTGCAGTTTAAGTACCCAAATGTAATGGCTGTGATCATGAACTTTCTCCTTTTATCTTGCTGTGATCTGGTATCATTTTGTTCCTTATCAACCATTATCACATTAGAGGCACAGGGTTATCAAATACCAAATCAGGTAAATGACAAGTATTTAATTAGCTTTATGTTGATGATGAAGAATATTGCAAAGTTTGTCTCTCTTCTTTGGTAGGGCAGAAACCCACCTAAGCAGGATCCTGTGCAAGTAACCTCATGGCTCAATACCAGGTTTTCTATTATTACTCTAAAGATACTTGCTTCCAGAAAAGATCAATTAAATGCATTTCTGTGGATCCCTGCCATGAAGATTATACTATAGTGGTACGAATATGTCCTCATGAAAGATGAAGAGTATTGGTGCATCTAGACTTCATATATGAAAAACTTTACTACAATCTCTTGTTACTTCATGATTGGAAATTACTTACTTGGGGTTTCTTGTTTTTTTTTTTTTTTTACTAAATAGACTTGGATTATCACTTGCTTTTGTCTTCAACTACTCCTACTTAATCCTTTTGTCAAAGCCCAAAGCTCCTGCGGGAATCCAGTGACAGATGATGTGAATGACATTGCAAAATTGGTAAGTAGCTTTTGATTTATATTATTCTTTATGTTAAAAAAAAGTGTCTTATGTCACATTTTTAAGCAAAGTTAGCAAATCTATATTATAAACAAGGTAATATTAAAAAAAAAAAACCACATTGTTGCAGAGACTGGAGAATAGTTTCAGACTTCATTGAAGAGATGACATTCTTGACCAAGCTGGAATGTATGTACATATGTGTTTTCCTCCCTCCAAACTTCTATAAAAATTGTCAAAGGTCTTGATTTCCTCAAACATTGTCTGGAATTAGATTGCCTCTCATGCAGATGAAAGATTATTGTCTTTTTGTTACTGATCTGCATGGAGCAGACTGGCGGCAAACACAACTGAAACAGAAAATTTTACCTTAGGTACATGGCAAACTTGTGCCATATATAACAATATTATCGTATTAGACATCATTGTAACAATCAAGGCAATAATGATTGAACAGCTCTTTGGAGTCTTTAGATGTGAGTGGGCTACACTCATTCCGTGTTTCTCTACTTGCTGTATCTAGAAGTTCAAGTATGAAGGGCTCATGGCTTCATATAAGAACTGAATCCATTTAAGTACATTTTAACTGCTACTTAATTGAACACTGCATTAACCTGAAAAACTACATCTCCTTGTGTGAAGTCAGTTGGTATTTAACTCCACTGAAGTCAGTGATTATGCTAACTTGCAGTAGTATAGGATCTAACACCAAATATTTTAAGAAATAATATATACTGAACACTTAACAGCCATACATTCATCTACATACTGACTTTAGCTGAAAATTATGGCTTCGTTATGGAAAAACGGTTGCAATACCAGCATTAATATTATCAAACACTTAATTTGGAGTCCCTTACATTTGCTGCCAGTGCAGTGTTCTTAACTTGTTTTCTTTGGGCATTGTTATATACATTGGCACATAGTGTAAATCTCTGAGGGTGCTCTATAGTCCTACTCAAATGCTTAGTGTTTCACATCAGTCCCTCTAGGCAGAATTCTGAAGTATTGGCATGTTTATTCAAGGTAATATTTCATCTTTTGAAAGAGTATTAAGCTTTGATTTAAACCTGTTGAAAGCATGACATAATAACAGAACTCCTGTGAGAGTTGGTGATAGTCTAGCACAGGGCTAGCAATAACATTTTGTCAATTAAGTATATTCAGAACAAGTGCTTTAACTTGCCTTTTAGTGCAATTTAAACTTCAAGAATGTATAAATACAGGTTACAAAAATTTGCATGCAGCTTGAGCAATCACACTTTGCTTTTGAGACATACCATGAAAGAAACCTAATATCATAAAAATCAGGTTAGTTTTTAATTTGACTGTGACTTTACATATTGTGTTCCTACATCTTCCTCCAGCCTAGTCCAGCAACTGCAGTTCTTGCACATATCCCTGCAATCACTGTTTCCATACCGCCACCCTTCTCTGCATCCCTTCTTAGTTCTCCACATGCAGCATGGTTGCTTGCTCCCTCCCATGCCTCCTAGGCACGATGTCTACCTGAGCAATGTTTCGAGTGCTTGCCACATTTATATCTCCTTTTGCTTGGGCTGCTGGCTGAGCAGGAAGGACTTTTGTGTGGCAGCTGTTCTGGTGAATGTGCTGCTTGTCCTGGAAGAAAACCTCTGCCAACTGTTCAGGTTGCACTGTGCTTCTGTTGCTGCCAAGCCTGAGAAGAGTCAAGTAGGGCTGAGCTCCTGTGGCCTCAGTAAGGATGCTGTACAGTCCTTTTCCTGACTTACACCCATAACCTTTCAGACTCTCTACCAAATGCAAAATTTGGGTGAAGTTAACTAGCAAGCTCAAAGATATTTGGGGTTGGAGAGATAACAGAGAGATGCAGAAAATACAAAGCCCAGACACCTGTATTCTCTCTGTTTTGAGTTGTGCCTCTAAGAATGTTTTGAGGAAAGTCTGTATCCCTGTTTTGTCTGTCTGTGTTAATGTTTGCATAGAATTTTCATGGGGAAATAATTTCTCTAAAGCCACTTGAGAATTCAAAGGATAACATGAAAAGTTTACTATCTTAAATTTAGTATAAGAACTCTTGGCTTCAGTTAAACGGACTATATTGCAAGTTGGTAATTCTCTTTTGAAATGCCACATCATGACAACTACACAAAAAGGTTAACGTACTTTTAAAACAAAATAACATTAGCTGACAGTGTAAATACAAGAAGGGAGAAATTCACAGAGAATGCTGATTACATTGCTAAAAAGTACAGTTTTTTAATGCCATATGAAATATATCCTTAGTACATATAATACGGACTCCAACATGATATTGCTTAAAAATATAGTGGCAGGAAACCCTACAACTCTTGTAAATTATGGTAAATGTTTTTGTACCACTTCTGCTTTTTGAAACAAAATATCCTCATTGAATTAAGAAATTATATTCTGATGACTTATGTCTTCAAAGTTGGACATAGCATCCATAGGTGGTTGGGTTCTTTATTGATCCTATTGGCCTTTAAAAGTCTTATTTCTCCAGTGATCCAAAGACTTTGTTCCAGTAGGACATATATCTTTAATAAATGTCCTCACCTTTCATACTGAGAACAAATGGTAGCACCGAGGATTTCACAGAAGCTAGTGTTATGTATACAGTTATTGCCCATAGTTATTGTGATAATATCCACAAGCTCTATCACACTTGCTGAGAGTGGTACGATAGTTGTTTCTGAAGGCGTTATTCGTGGCTGTCATGTTCTTTGAACCCTTTTGTCCAAAGTCATATCTGTGTGCAGTAAACTACCTCTTCATCAGTAGTACACAAGTCCCAGTTTAGGATATTGGCCTCTCTTCCTCCCATCGCATCATAAATGCTCAGACATCAGCTTAGATTCAGTATGGCCTGAATCCTCCACTGAGGCAGATTATGATGTCTTCATCTCTCACAAAATGTTAGTCTTTCCCGGGCCTTTTCTCCTCACTGTAAAGGTATATGACCATCTCTCACCAGCCACTCAGGTCTATAACAAAGGTGTTCATTTTGGCTCTTGACACTTCACAGACCCTTTTAAGTTGACTTTTAAAACCTCCATTGTTTTTTCTCATAACAGAAAAAAATGGGTTTTGTAGCTCTCTGTCCATACAAATTCATTTTTCTTCCAGATTATTGGTGGGTAAAAATCCAGTCTACTGAAAAGTCTTCTTCTGGCTTCTGTTTCTATAATTTTGCCCTTCTGTCTGTTAATTTGCTGTTCTGACCCTGTATCTTCTACTTACTTCCTTCAAGCTGATCCTCCTTTTTTTCAGTATCAATGGCAAGATTCTTGGTTTTGCCTTCAAAGGCACTGTTAATGCTGCCTGTGATGTCTTAACACATGCTGAGTTTGCCTTCTTGTCCTAGCTTCTCCTCATTATTTCCATAGTATCTGTTACGCTCTTTGTGGCTGCCGGAAGAATGCTCCTTGATGAACTCTTGGCAGATTCTCATACTCTTCCTATCTCATGCTAAAATTCTTTGCAGTATGAATCAATGTCCCTCTTCTTTATTTTTCCTACTCTGTTCTTCCTGACTTCTACTGCAGTTCACCTACAGCTTGCAAAACAGTGCCACAATTGCCTGCCAAACTCCTTTGCTAGTAGATTGATACAACCTAGTCTTCATTTATTTGGTTGTGGGCTTTTTGTTCCAAGTTCTGTAAACCCCCTGTATTACTGGTAGTAAACCCCTCAGCATGCCTGCGACTGCATTCTGTTCAACTGTATTGTATTTTAAGAATATGAGAAGAGCATGCCTCAGTCAATACTTTCTATGAATATAGACTAGGGATGTCTACCAAGCCTAAGCTATTAGAAAATAAATAAGGCACACTAAGTGGTGGCTGAAAATGTGGGTCATTTGCCTAATCAGTTTTGTGTTGAGTGATAAATTGAGGACAGATGTATGGTGTAACTTGGTTTGAGTGGTGTTAATCTGGATTTTCACTAGCAACATACTAGACTCATACCAGAAGCTGGAATTGGAAAGAAATAACAGATTCAATAACAATAATGTTTCTGAGCATTAATCAACCTAAAACCAAACCAAACGGATATCCCTTCATGGAAAAATGACTTGTATTTTCTGGAAGATTAAATTTATTCAACTCTTTACAATATAATTTTCTCATATGAAGAATGTTTCCTAAGCAAAATGGTTTTAAGAAGCAAAACATAATTGAACAATCAATTTTCGTTTGTCTTTTAGTAGTGAGAACTTTAAAAGTACATAATTTCATACCTGTAGAGAACAAAAGTATTTACAGAGTACTTATTCTGCATTACTTGAACTTCTGCTTCTTTTTTAATGAAGATGTCTGGAGGGAAACACTTCATGAACAAATGTTCTGTATTATGAAACTCTTAATTGCAGCACCTGTCAATAAAGCCTGTCCCCATTGTTCTTTTCAGCACAGCAAGTCAGCAGAAATCTGCATTGCTGTAATTGTGACTCTGATTTTGCATTAGAATAGGAATATGTTGTATGTGTTTGTTAAATATGAACATCAAACCGACATATAGGTAGAATTTTCACTGGGCCATGAAGTTTTTATAGAATGTACTTTGTATAATCTATATATTTTGGTTTCATCCATTAACAAAATCTGATATTCACCTCCTCCTCCATGATCTACTTCTTTAATGCAATTTCTTTCTTTTTAGTGTGGGAAGCCCAAACAATAGCCAGCATTTACTGACCAGGTTGCTTGTTCAAGACATGATGTTTCAAACACTTTGCCTCCACATTGCATCTTTTCTGTAAATGTATACTTTACACTCTCTGCAACATTTGATATTTATTTTTAAATGGCTCTAACTCTCCTGAGTGAAGGGGTTATAAAAATGATCCAGTGTTGTTATCCTGCAAATAATCTGCCACTATGACTATAAGAAGTGTGAATGGAAATTGTTAGCATGTTGTCTTAAGCCAAATGATGATTTTATTAACTGCTTCATTAGCAGATGAGATATATTGCAGAGATGATGGACAGAAAGTGGAAGCTCCTACAGGAAAATCAAAGCCTAAAATGCAAAGAAGGGAGATACAGAGTTATTAATGAGTAGGAAAAGGGAAATGATGAAGAGAGAAATGGGAGGTAGAAATGGTAGCCAAAAGGAAAGTATGATTTTCCCGTCATATGCCCCAGAGTAAAAAAGAAATCACTGACAACTGTAAATGGTAATTTTTACTTTATTATCTTACTTTATCTTTGATCCATGTATAAATAAATAAATATATATATATATATATATATATATATATATACACACACACACACTTGTCTCCTTAAAATTTTTAAAACAGTCACAATAAAGAGAATTTCCAGGAGCAGTAGCCCTTATTTCAAAACACTTGACTGTGTTAGGCCATGTCTCATGTTCTGCTGTTGCAATGAAAGAGTAGCTTATGGAACCCAAATCACTTTTACAACATCCCTTTTTCATCTCCCCATCTATGTGACCATGAGCATATTTTAGAAGTATATTTGGGTTATGCAATATAACAGTGATGTATTAAATATTCAGACCTCTCTATGTTAAAAGGAATCTTACACTTCCTAGTTTGGGATTTTGTTACAAATGGCAATATTGCACTTAATGTTGGGTTTATATGGATTTAAATATGTAAGTCAAGATGCCCTGTTCTTCATCTCTTCTCACACCCTGATAGGGTTTCTACAACCCCACACCCCCATTAAATCAGAGAAACTTTCTGTGGCATTTTAATTGCAATGCAGGGTTCTTTTAGTTCTATAAACTAGTTTCCAAGATTATCAGGTGACATTCTCTATAATCATCAAAACTGCTACTTTTGTCTAAACTAAGGTAAGTCATGGAGGCAGGTGTTTTGTTGCCCCTAAATTTGTCATTGTACTTAAGGAGTTGAGTATGGGAACCAAAAAAGCCACTCCAGGATGCAGGGAGTTTCAAGGGACAGTCCTTTTCAGTCCCTCTTTGCTCAGGTAGGTCAGAGCCCTCTTGTCATCTGCCCCTTGTTGGGAGCCACAGCAGTCAGGCACCCTGCACAGAGTGGGTATGCAGAGTCCTTTCATTCCTTTCTGGATCATTTCAGCAGTTGAAAATAAAGTGGTTGGTTTTGGATCGTAGTCTTGGTGGTTAGTCTTCAATGAAATTTCAAGTTTCATTTCAGGAAAGCAAGAGTACCAAATGCACATTTAGTATAAGCATATCCTTCACTCTTACATCAGGGGCTCTACCCTATTTTCTCTGAGTTGGGAGGTCCAACTGGGACACAAATATAACTCCCTCACTTGGACTGAGCTCCATCATTTACCATCAGCAGAGCATCTGGCATGTGGAGTTTAATCAATCAAACTTTAAGAAATTGTTTCATCTTGAGGCAAGGCATATATTTTGTGTTTGATACCCTCCCCCCCAATGATCTTCATTTTTAGTAGTAAACTCAAAAATATCCTTTCTGATTCACAGTCTGTCAAGGAGAAAAATACCTGAGGCTGAGCTGTATTCTCTGGCTTTGTCTGAGAAGCTATAAGAGCTCTTGGGCAGTTAGATTTTTTTAACTGTGCATGAAAAGTGCTTGACAGGCTCTGCTGACAGTAAAGTAGATTGTATACATAATGCATATCAATTCTTGTAGTGTTCATTGATTTGGAACAAATTTAATCTTCCACTGACCTTTCTTAAAGAATGGTGCTTTTGCTGATATTGCTAAGTATTGAATCCCTCTAGAGTGAGTATGGGAAACTTTGCACATACAGTAGCATCTTCACTATCTTTGCTGCTGGAAGTGCTGCTAATCCTACCTTCTAGGCACACAAAGGAAGCTGGAAAAGAAACTGGATTACCTATTAATGTGTCATGATGTCAGAATGATTTTAGAGGATGGAAAAATATACAAAAATTGTGGATGAGGATTTAGAATAAATCAGATGATCTATATAAAAAACAAATGTGTTGCATATTTTTCAGTATTTATAGCATCTTGAATCAACTCCCCAAAATGACAGGTAAGTAGAAGTTGGTATAGAGTATTTTAGTGAGACTTCTGCAACTGCTACTTTGGGAATGTGTAGGTATAAAAATTTAAAAAAAAATTGATCTATAAAAGGAATTTACCAGGATCATTTGGATAAAACTTGTTTTTTAAAGCTGTAGGAGAAAGCTAGGTGTCATTGAACTGAAAGATTGTGGCTCAGCCCATGTTGTAAATAAAAAATTGTTTGGAATTCACTAGTGATTGACTGTGTGTAAGTATTGTCCTTGATCATTTCTAGAACCACAATATTTTGAAATTTTTGCTTTAATTTTTTAATTGGAACTAAATTTTAATTAACAAATCAAACATTCTGTAGTGCCAAACAAAATACTACCTAAAAACTGCACAGGAAAAAAAAAAAAATCCCTGTGCTGGTTGCTATAGCAGCAGAATCAAAAGCAGCCATAACAGAATGATCTTTCACCCGAAGAAGTAGAAATGCTTTGGTGAACAAAGTACAGATAAAGTACAGATTCTGGTTCACCAAAGAAGTTATGTATGTGCTTATTGTCTTTTGACTGAATGGATTTCAAACAAAGATGAGAAATATCAATTGAATCCTTCACCGATACAAAAGCAAACAGGTTTGCTGTATCACTAAGTATCATAGTTTTGGTAAACCTTTTGAAAAAAGTAGTTTAAGAGATTGTGGATCCAGTCAGTGTCACCCTCTTCATCTCTCCACTCAGCACATTCCCCAGATGATCAACCACGTCTCACAGTAGTGTTGAATTCCATCTGTGGCAGATTGTATTGTATATTCAGTGAGAACCCTTCTTCCCCTCTTGTCCTTGCTTCAACACACCCCATACTCACCCACATCTGCAAAGTCACATTCACCTTACATGTGCAGAAGCTCTTCTTTGCCCCAGGACATTGCTGTGATATAATTATATTGCTTATTGTTAGTAAGAGGCACAGCTTCAAAATTAAAGATGTGCTCAAGTGTTTTTCTGACCTGGTACATAACTAAGGGCAAGGCAAGGAAGAATCAGATGCTTGCTGAAGTTGGAAATTATTTGAAGGAATGAGCCTTAGAGACTACTAGGTCCTCTACTGTTTGCAGTGGTTGGGGTTAGATAGAAATCATTACATAAACACTTCAAGACATGCCATTAAAAGATGAAAATGCAGTAGAGTTTCTGTAGTAATGAATAACCTCATATCATGTCTCCTTACCACATTACTGATTTTAATTCTGCTGGGAAGTGGTAGCATTAAACATGATCATTTCGGGTCTGGGAATGTTACAGAGGCGTGGAAGAATGCTTCATTTGTGAGCAAACGAGAGTCAGTAGCAGTTCCACTGGAAACTGAAGTATGTAAGATTCTGCACCCGATAAGTTGCTGAAAATTTGTGTTGAATATTTGATAGATTTTGTTGAGTACAGCGATGGAAATTAAGCCTTACTTTGTTTAGTCAGTAATAACTTTTTTATTATCTGTTTATTGTAGGTTGGAAATCTCCCAAATGATTATATGATAACCCTTAAATATGTCCCGAAGATGGATAGTCTGGTATGTACAACCACTTCAAGTTAATCCCAATAAAATAGCCCACTGGAACCAGTAATGGCAGTAGCATTTTGTACCTAGTCCTATGGCTTAGTAAATTACAGTTAAATAATGGTTATTTCACTTTTCATATACTTTGCAAGTATTCATTTAAAAGAAATGTAGAGATTCCTGCAGTCACTTAAACCCTTTTTAATTACAAGAATCTTAGAAAAATGATTCTTCATATCAAATTTTTTAACATTTTATCTGGAAAAATTCAGACAATGGTATTATTTCATCATGTCAACTGAAAATTGTTGCTTGCTTAAAGAAATGGTTTCTCTATAATTGTACTTTGAGATATACTGTAGCCGCTGGACATGCCATTAAAGCACAACAAGTACGGAGTGGCCAGTAAAGAGAACCCTAAATTCAGCAAGTGGTAGTGTCACTAACTAAACAAACTGGTAGAAAATGAGGACATTATTTCATTCAAACATGCTTTATATTATTCTGTCTATATAATCCTATAGTTAATACATAGTGATACTTTAAAATAAGCATCATCTACCTTCTTTAAAATTCTGTAACATTCTGTATTAAAAACTTTTTTATACTATCTTATTGCTTATTCTACTAAATATTTTTGATGTTTTTCCTTAATTAAAAAAAATATTGTTAGAATGATGCATGGTTGTTGCATACACTGCAAGAAAAAGGAGAGAAGAAAACAAGGTGGAAGTAGAAATTATGCTGAACGCTATACTGTATTGTTTTAAGGAAAGACAAAAAGTAAGAAAAGGACTAGTTTGTCATTTAAACTGAACACTATTGTGCCTGTCTTAAGAACTGTACACATGCATCAGTAGTTGGAAATCATCTGGTAGATGTAAGAAGCTGGGTTTGTGTCTGTACAAAGTTTTTATTATGAAAATCCAATTTGTGTGATACACATGTAAAAATGCATTCTGTCCTATCCTACAACATCATTACAAATCTAGCAATATTGCCTATTGATAGAATGATTCCCTATTGGGAACGATGCCAGAAGCAAAATTCTCTTAGTCCTGAATAATAAGATGGCAGGAGGAAAAGGAGGCTGTGGGACAGAGAAGGGCCCTGAGCTGTGAGGTTATGAGGTATTATGGCAGATCTGGCAGTGTTTTTATGAGTTTTGTTGGAAGCTCAACATGTTTACTAAAACTTAGAGTGCTTTAGAAAACCTGGTTTAAACTTGATTCCTTAGACAGAAAATCTCTGCAGAACAAATGGTATAGGAGTCAGGTACTATATAATATAATTAAACTAATGGAAAAATTTCCATTTCGGAAAATAGCCAATATCCAGAGAAAAAAAAAAAAAGACTGGCTGCCAACATTCCCTGGCTGCAGTGCTTTTTGAAATTCAATTATTTTGGTTCCTGATGTGATGAGATTCTTGTCTGTGGAGGACAGCCATAGTCTAAGCACTGCTCCCAGCTTTCTGGATGAGTGGTAGCTGATGGGTGAGAGCTGGGCTGGATCGGGGTTGTCCCCTTCGCCATGCTCCTGGGGAGGTTAGCACTGTGGATGAAGAAGGCCAGGGAGCCTGCTTGAGGCATACATTCTGGTTGTTCTCACCACTTAACTCTTACCTTGCTCTATAGTTCAATTTTGACTGCCAGTACACAGTTTCTTTTCTATAGTTTAAATGCCATGTCATCTCGCTGCATCATATCCAGAAACTTAGACCCAGTTTACATTTACGACAAGCAGCCAAGAAATAAATAGGAAGAAGAGACATTCAGAGCTGGGATTTCCATAGTCTGTTTGCTCATACACCACTTTCAGTCATGGTGATGGTTCAGCTCTTGGCCACATGTCTTTGCAAGAGGATGCATTCAGCAGTATTCACATCCCACTTTGACAGATTCCTCTCTGGGAGTTTCAGATTGTGTTACGCATACCACAGCAAAGGCTGGCTGAATAAGTAGGTTTTTCTCTGGGTTCTGCATGGTCCCTGAATGCTGGGAAACCCATGGCTTTGTGTAAGTTGAATGCCATTTGTTCAGCACTGAAAGGATTGAAACGGTGCTCTTCGATTTTTTTCAATAGATTTCAATCTTCAGTGCGTTCATAAAGTGGGAAATGTACCCAAGGTAGCAAGTCTCAAATGCAGATGACTAAAGGTAAGAAGGCAGGGTGAATGCAAAGCAGATGGGAAGCCAGTGTAGTGCATGTAACAGGAACAGACTGACCCAATCCATTAAACAGAAGAGTTGTTGCATTATGCAACAAGGCATCTGAGTGACTTCAAATGTAGTCTCACATAGAGTCAACTGAGTAGTCTAACCAGGAGTTTAAAAGGCAAAAATGACAGCAACAGGGGCTGAACTCAGAAGAGGAGATAAACTTCAAACTTTTAGAAAGATGTAGAAAGAAAAAGCTAAATAAGGACTAACTGTAAGTACAAGGGAAGTCAGGTTTGCGATTGCCCTAAAATGTACATCTTGGTCAAAGTTTACACCAAAAAGTGGAGTTAAACCTCCATTTCTCCTTGCAAACAATGTCACATTTCTCAATTTCAGCAGTTTCATCCCTGTGTTTGATAGGTATTGAGATAGCAAGTGCTAGCACAGCTTGCCATTACTGAAAAGAAAACTTGAAGCTCTTCTGAAATACAGCTTTGTAGGTCAGAACGGTTCAATCAGAGGAGACTCCCACGCACATGCTAAACTGTGGGAGCAGCAAAATAGATTCCCTGCTGGAATCGCCAAATGCTCACTAGGAGAAGTAGCAAGCTTTTGCTAGTCCCTGCCAAAGGAGAATGCACAACCGCAAAACCTCGGAGGAAAACGGTTTCCAGTTTTGCAGTTCAGGGCAGCACAGAAGTTCTGTGTCCATGTTCTTGCACCAAAGTGGAGGAAATTGCATTGTCTGTCTCATGAGAGCAATGGGACATGGCACAACACAGGCTTCTTGATCAGAGTACATTTCACTAAGCTTTCTCTGATTTATTTGCTTTTGCCTCTCCCCTCCCATTATTGTGCTTGAAGGAAAAAAGAGAATCAAGCCAAACACCATCCATTTCACATTTTGTTTCATTCTTTTTTAAGTCATTGCTGAGGTAATTACAGAAAGTGATAATACTGACTTGCACTTGTCAGTGTGTGAGAGGGCTGTACACAAAAGTGAAAAGTCAGGTGGAGCTGAATAATGTATTTACATTGGGTTCTCTAAGCTTGGAAGCCTAATAGTTTGGTTAGTCTTTGAATGCAGTCTGGTTTTCCTCATCAAAAACATTTACACATGAAGGCAGAACACCTGTGTCACCAAGAAAGTAATTTGTTGCCGAGTGATTATATTGATAGTGGATGGGTTCAGTGGATGCTGCCCATCCACTGGGCATCAATTGGTAACTGGTTTAGTGACACTGAAGTACTTAGGGGTTGGACCGACCTGGACCAATATCTTCATATCTGGCAGACTTTAATGATCCTGAGACATTTTCAACCACTGAACTAGCTGCACATATGGAACTATGGAACAAATGTTTCCTATAACATTTGCCATTAAAAGTTCAGCATTTATTGGGAAGGGATTTCCAGGTACACGCTGCAGTGTGACTAATGGATTTTTGCTGACCATATTGAGTTAGGTTTTTTCCTGGGCTGGGTGGCTTTTTTATTTGCTTCACTACTGCTATGTAAATCTAAGTAAAAGAAGTTAATGACTCCCTGTAAGGCAGCAAGATGAAGGGCTACATTTCTGTCACATGAACAGTTATACAAACATCTGCAAACAAAATGCATAGGTGTCAGTGAAAGGATTTGAACTGTATTCCAGTGACACAGATGTAGCAGATACCGTGACAGGCTGTACACCCTTTTGTCAGTGAAAACTCAGGAAAAGAAAGACTTCTAGATCTAGATACTCTTCCGAGGAATGACATTTAGTGAAAAAGCTGAAGAGGAGTTAACTAAGCTAACTAGTTTAAAGGTGAATAAAAGCACACATGGATTTAATGCAAAACGTTTATGGAAACCTCCCTCAGAAGAGATTTAAATCAAGAATTTTGGGGGTTAACTGGGTCATGTAGGGTAACAATAATAAAATGAAAACTGACATTTGTTTATAGAAAGCCTGGAAAAAAAATGTTAAAGCAGTAGTTATTTAAAAAAAAAAAATACATTAATGAAAGCATAGACTAGCGTTCATAGTAGTATGTCCCAAGGCTCAAATTCTCAACAGACCGATGCTTAGCATTCATTGAGAACTTAATGAAGGGATGGCATTTAACAGACAACCATAAATATGTCAGTGTCAGTGAGAATAGAAATTTTACCAAAAGGACTGTAGAGAAAGTTGGCCACAGTAAAGAAGACAAACTTTAATTTAGACTTTCAGGATAATTTAAATTGGAAAAAAACAGTCTAATCTACTTTTGCACATTGAATTGTTTAATCAGTTTTTGCAAAAGTCTGATATTTAATCTAGCTCTCTGTTTCTCTTTTTATCCCCTGACAGCCTAATCACTGTTGGTTGCATTTGATGGTGCCTGAATTTTCAAGGAGTCTACATAATCTTCTCCAGAAATTTTCAGATATTTCAGATATGTCTGATGTTCTAAGCAACTATTCAATCATCAATAATCTCACAAGGATAATTAATGATCTTATGGCATGCCTAGCTTTTGATAAAAATAAGGTAATCTTATACAGAGTTTCTACTTTTATGCTAGATATTTTTATTTGAACTTTCTGTTGCACAGTACTCAGTAATAGTTTAAAAATGTCCAAAGCTTCATTAGATTTGTTCTCATTTCTATTTCTGTACATCTGAAATCCTACTTTGTTTAGAAATGCAGCGAGTACACTGTGCTAATGTTGGCTAGTTGTTATCTCCTGTTTCAAAGGAAAATGGCTTACAAGGAATTACAGTATATACAACAACTTGTATACAGTTATTTAAGTAGTCAAAAATGTAACCATCATCTTAAAGATAATTAATTCTGGTCTGTTTGAAACTGGCAGAAATCTTCCTTGTGCATCCAGCTTATTCATTTTGCTGGTGATCATAATGTAAATTTAAAGATGATGTGGTTGAAGCTATTAATATACTCTTAGTACATATCACAGTGTGTGATGCTTTGAAAAACTTCACCATGGTTTAACGAACTTTTATATACAAAGACATAGCAAAGACTAAAGGATATCAGCCCATTTCCATGTGTTTCTGGATTCCAACAGCAGCTGGAAGGATTTCAGGAATCTCACAGAAGAGATGTCTGATTCTGTTGTGCAAGAATGATGGGGGGGAAAAAAAAATTAACTTTGTAATCCCTTACCCAGCTCCAACCAGTCTATCAGTAATTAAAAATAAATTCTATAATCAGAGGTTTTGTCCCACTGAACAAAATGGGCAAAATCCATCATGTTCTTTAGAGCAAGGATTTCATCTTCCATATACGTTTATTTTTGTCAAGTAAGTCTGTAGCTGTTCTAATTACACCTTTTTAACATCCAGAATTAATCAAATGGACTAAAACACTCAGTCTTATTTAGAGTGGAATAACTTTGTAACCTTTTCATATACCAGCATTATATTGTTGAGAATATTATTTAGACATTCCCTACCTTTCCATTTCAAACTGAATTCTGTCTAATCTTCAATGTTGGGTTGTTTATTTTTTTTCTATTCCTGTCCTGATGATTCAAAGCACTCAGCTGGGATGTGGTTAGGGAAGAGGAATTTTGTTTTGTAGAATGAAGAAGTAAATATCCTGTAACTCAGAAAAACAACTTGATATTGATTTCCTCAGAGAAGAATGATCTTAAATCTAGTCCTTTCAGCATTAAACATAAAATCATCTTGGAGTCAAAGCTAGGAAGTTTTCCTTAGTACATATTTAACCTATGTTCTTACCACTGTCCTCCTTCTTGGGAGTACAGAGTAACCCCAGGTCACATTTGACCTGCTGGCATAAGAAACAGTTGTTATGAAAGCCATAGTCAGGTAAAAAGGAAAAAAAAAAAAAAAAAAAAAAAAAAAAAAAAAAAAAAAAAGAAAAGAAAAGAAGATAACGGTCAATGATCTTAACATGGACCTGAATCTTGTTGTTTAGTCTGGCATAACACACTTGTCTGTTAGACCTCAGACTGATTTGGCTTCCTTGTTTATAGTCCTGCTCTTATTTTTAGGTCCATTATCAGGGATCTCAGCCTGCTTCTGTGCAGTATTGTATCCCAGCTATTGTATTCTCTTCCCTGTACTCTTATGATAATAGCTATGATTGTGTTGTGTTCCTGTGTAGAGATTAAAAGGATCATGTGGAACATTGTAAAGTAATGTGAAATCAAGGTAATTTTTTTTAATGGGAAAATAAAAAAAAGTCTTCATTTTTGGTGTAGGATGGAGACTGCCTTTCATTGCTTGGCAATTTTACAACACTGGATTAATAATTTATTTCTATTTGCAAAGCTAATTTGAAATCCTCAGATCAGAGGGCTTGTATGTTTCATAAAGATTGCATATAGCAAATTTAGTCCTCTGCAGGTTAAAAATTTAAACTATTTTGTGTCGTCTTTGAATATTTTATCATCTGTTGAGGTGCTGAAATGAGCATCTCTCTTGACCTTCTTTCAAGCTGAATTCTATTTTTTACCCTAGGATTTTGTAAAAGAAAATGGTCACCTTTATGAAGAAGGTCGCTTCATTCCTGAGGATTTTTTTAGGCACTTTAATAGTACCATTGAAGTCTACAGGGAGTTTGCAGATACATTGGACAAGAATGACTGCATTCTGCCTTCAACAGTAGAAACACCAGAGAATGGTAAGATTGCTGTCATTTGAGGGAACAGAATCTAAGTAGATATAAATGGGTGACTTTCCTTTGATTTCAGAAATGCTCTGATGCTGTACCTCCATGTCTCCTTTTTACTGCCAGTTAAAAATTAGTACCAACACCAAAGCTTGTATTTCTGTTCTAAATTGAGTTCTATCTGGCAGTAAAACTAGTGCCATCATTGCTAGTGACATCATTCCTTAATATAATCCAAATAACCTCACAATACTCTGCTCTGTTTCTTCTCATCCCAAATATATCCTGGTTTGTCTTTTTACGTTGTTCTTCTTATCTTCTATTCATGTTCTATTTAATTTCTATAAGGTAGTAAAGGAGCCTAAGATTGCACTACTGAGAGGATAGGAAGCTAAGACAAGTTGTAAATTACAGCAGCGTCAAGTCACTTCCATATTCATCCCACCCCTCCTGAAAAGGGCCATGTTTACTTCATCTAAAAATTTTAACAAGCTCAAGTCAGGCTCTTGCAGTTCATTCTCATCCTTCCAGTAAATGGAGGTTTTGTATTCTCTTTTCTTTTACCCTTTCCAGTGACAGCTATTAGCTTTTTAATGAGAGCAACATATCCAGTTGTACAGTTATACCAGTAGTACCTAGAAGTAGATCAGTGCCATAACCTAAGAACTTGTTTAAAGCAATTGCTTTTCCAAAACATTTATTCAGCAGCAGCTCAGTGTGTAGACACATCTGCCTCTTAATAAGACTGCCTTTTTTGGCTTAATCCACTTTATAAACATCTCTGTAGCCAGATTTTTAAAACAGCCCTAGAGCCACATCAGAGTAGCCTTATAGCCCATTATCTTATCTAGAGGGAACTGTATTTTAAGTTACATAATGCTGACACACTCGTTTTCTATTTAGATTCCAGAGTCGCTGTCACAAAAACATTTTTGTTTCCTCCTGTTGCTGCCAGCTCCCTTAGGAATGACAGCATTGGCAGTAACACTAGCAGTAACAGTAAGTACAAGTGATTGAATTAATATATGTGTCTCAGTTTTGTTCTGGTAGCTGGTTGTTACGAGAGCTCAGAGGAAAACAATGTCATTAATTGTGCAAATTAATGGGAAGTTACTTGTGCCTGATGGTGTACCATGTGTTTCTCAGCTGTCATACTGAAATGCAATGAACTTATCTAATCAAAATTTAGAAATGCTATCAAGTTAAAATGATGTGACAGCTCTCTACAACTTGGAGAGGGCAGGTCTCTTCGTTTTGGCTGTCATGAGGTCTCGCTAGTCATATGGCCTCAGAAAACTTGGCTGTCCCAGACACCTCATTTTAACTCTGAGAAAAGGAAGTTGCTCCCAGTGAACAGAATAGCTGTCCTAAATCAGGCTCAGGGTGCTCATGTGGACAGAGGCTGCCTGTACATTGCATTTTGAGAGCATTGTCAATCCCAAGCTTGACACCAAAGCTGAAGGCAGTTCTCATGTTTCCTTGCTGTAGGAGCAGTAGGACCAGCTCCCACAGGCAGTGTGCTTTTGGTTGAGGTCAAGGAAAAAGTCACTACACTTTTGGGAGGCTCTAGTCTATCTGACATGGCCATCTCCGTATTTCTCATCTGTCTTGGTTAGTGTATTACATGACTGGTCACTGACAGATAAGAGATCCTGGAACTGATGCTGTAAGAGCCTCCACATTACCTGTCATGAGGTCAGAAAGGGTATAGGAATCTGAGGTAAAGAGAAACAGGGAAGTTTCAGGGGTTTTTATGTGACAACATGTACAATAGGGTGAATACTCCTTGGAGCTTTCCATGTGAACAAAAGAAGGGGATTTTCCTTAGAGGTTTCTGAAATGGTGATTAAAGCTTAAACATGTTATTGTTTCCCTTCTTCCTGTTTCCCGAACACAACAGAATGATAATGTGTATCTCTTTCATAATTTCCCCCTTTCACTTCATAAGCATCCATGCTATCTAAATATGTAATGATGAAGTGTGTGGCTGGTACTCCTTGTGCTGAAGAAAACATGGGCAAAGGGGCAGCCTGATGTAGCCTGGTGGGCATGGTGGTAGTTCCTGATGGTGGGGCAGATAACTACTAAGACTGAGTTTCTTCTCATGCTGCTTTTCTTGGGAATGTGTAATCTTGTTATTCTCGGGGGTTTTATCACCATGCATGCTACCCCTTAGCTGGCTCACAGCTGCTGTCAGATTTGAGCCCTTCCTGATTGCTTTCTAATTAAGAGAAGGTCTTAAGTCATTGTTCCCCAAAACCCTCTGAGTATAAGGTTGAAACAAAAACCACCTTTGACTCCTGGCTGCCAGCCTGCTTCCCTGGAACAGAGAAGTCTCACTGCTGTAAATTCCTCTCCAAGAGGTCACAGAGCTGGCTGCAAATAACCTGATGAGCCCAGGGCCAATTATGAGGCACCAGGAGGGAGCTAAAAAGCACATACCTGTCTCTCTCAGGTCTGAACATGTGATAATTCTTGCTTTCACTGCTAGAGGAAGAATATTCAGCTGTAGCCTGAAGTAATGGGAGTGGATCAAGGAGCCAAAAGACATATTACAGGAGCAGTACAGATGAAAGGAGCTTGACCCAGTATAGTAACATGAGGGATGTCAGGCAGTGCAGCAGAGTGTGGCACCTGTGTCTGTACTGTAGAGGAGAGTACAGAAGCAGTTTATCAATCTTTTGTTATAACTGGATCTGATAATCAAGTAGGGAAAAAGACTAATTAAAATAATGCACTAAGTCAAAGAAATTGCTTGACTGGCCATATGCTGTACAGGTGTGTTTTAACTGATTATCATTCTCTTAAGCAATTTATTGGAAAATTGGATATCAGTTAACAGACTGATGGAGAAATGACATGAGGACTGCATGTCTGGAGCTGGGGACAGTTTGAACTCGTAATCAGATTAAATTACATTAACTTGGACATTGGATGCTGCCTGGTTACACTTTAGTTATTTGTTTGGAGTTTTTTGCAGGGAGAGATCTGTGGCATCTTTATTGGCATCTCTGTCTGACTCCCTGAAAATGGTCTTAAGTACTGATTTTAGTTTTGTCTTGGCTTTATTGCTGAGTAAGCTTTCTTTTTTACTTAACCCCTACGTTCTTGGAAGGAACAACAATAAATAAACCTTATTGCTTCCCATGTGAAGACCCCCCAGCACAGGGGATCCTGTCAGCTGGCTGCAGTACTGTTCTCAGAACAGTACCACTGGATTTAAACCTCAGAAAGCAAAACAGTTGGAAAGGAGAGGAAACCTGAATAAAGCATCTTCCAGACATAAACTACTGTAATGTGGGTTTTGTTTCTTTTTAAATGACCCTCTAATTTTAAACAGTTTTAAACTGAGCTATTTAAAATTAATGTTTTCTAGATCATTTAGAAGCACTCACTGTTTGCAAAAGAACCCCTCCAGATTAATAATAAATTTTGAATTTATTAGTAAAGTCTGTGTAGTTAGATGAACAGCTCTTAAGTCCAAATTCTAATTAGATAAACCTGAAGTTCATAATATAATAAAATAATTTATGAAATAATCATAGAAATTGTATATAATATAAATTAGCTAAATTACATTTTTTAATGTTGTTGCTACATTTGTTGAGTCATATTTCATGACTTCATTGTTACTACACAGCAATAATGTTAAACTACTATAACAGAGTAAAATCTTGACTAAATCTACACCAAAAGTCTTACCCCAACTAAGTGTAAAATGTAACAGTTATCCCGTTTTCATCCTTCTAATATTGAATGTAGATCTGTGGCATGTTCCGTCTCCACTTTTCCCCCATAAAAATCTCAAACACCACCACCACCGCCAATTTATTTAGGTTGGTTTGTTTTCTTCTCTTTATGCTACATGACTGTAGTCCAATTTAAATTCCAATTAACTGTTTAAGTTCCAGACTCATCGATATTTCTCTGGATTGTTATACCATGCATACTATAGAGAATTCAGATGAGCTGGTCCCTGTGTAATGAACAAGTGTCAGGATAAGAAGTCTTGAGTCCTGGTCTTTTCTTTCAGTGGTTGAACCAAACAATAAATAGTGATGGGTTTTTTTCCCATCAGATGAATCTCATGTTGCTCTGATTAAAGCTTGAACTTACTAGCTGTTACTAACACTTCTCACTCAATTTAGTGCCATGGTATTATTTATATTTTCATGGAAAGTTCAGTGTTGCTTTATTCCAGTTTTGCCTATAATTTCCTAACAGTAATTTAGCTTTATTATTCAGTACTGCTCATAGAACATGTAAACACAGAGATCTCTGTAACTGATTTTAGGAATAAGGTGTCCTTTTATAATTAAGAAAAGAATACTGTAGTTTAATTAAGTAATTGCACAACAATTTGAAAACGTGCACTGATGACTTAATGCAACTGGTGTTGCCTCTGTGCCTTTGTTACCTTGTTCCAACTTTATAGTTAATGTAAAACCCTAATGAACAGGTGAGAGCTGCTTTGCATTTTTACAGATAAGATCTAGTGGTAATTGTGTTGGAGCTGAGCAGAAGTAAACTGAAAATTCCTTTGAGACATATACGGCAAAAAAATCAAGCCAGTGTTTTGAATCATAACTGGTTACTAAACCTACACACATGGCTCAAGGTGGAAAGCAGCTCAATAACTTCATTGTGTAGCTGAGTGGCTCTTCATGTTAATATATTTTGTTCACAGCTTAACAACTCAAAGTCCATGAAGACTATGTATAAATCGATATCAGATGAGCTCACTGCCTTGCAGAATAGTTCACAAGGTGCAGAGTGAGAGCTCTGAGAGATGCTGGCCTGCTTCCTTTTGCACCTTGCTTGATAGGGTCTGTTTTAAGTGAATAATACACTAACTGCAAAGCTAGCAGTTCCTCTGGCATTGCCCAAGGGGTTCACAAAGTTACCAATACACCTGGTTCCTCCTCTTCCTTCTCCTACTCTGCCTTTACAATTGCTTTTTAACTTTCTGTGTAGAACTCTGAAGTTTTTAACATAGGAAAAGATCCCTCTGGAAGGAATAAAAACCTATTGGCAGCCAGATTGCTTTCCTTATTTCCCTTTTCTTCATTAAAACACAAGTCCCCAGGAGGTTCTCCAGACTGAAAAATCTACAACCTGTTCGGTTTTAGATGTTAGTATAAATAAAAGGCACATGAAGAAACCTGCCATGATGCATTTCATTCTCTCCAGATCTTTCGAGAGACTTTTTCTGGACTTGAAAATGAAATTAAATAATGTTATTTGCTTTGTAAGGTAGTTATGGTTTACTTTTAAAGTAAACTTTAAGTTTTAAAGTAACTTTTACGTTAACTTTAAAATTAATTCATACACTATCAAGATATTAAAAAAATACCTGTTGTCATTTTTAAGAGGTAGGCTGGGGAGTCTGTCACAATTGACTGTATTTAGGCTCTTTCCCTGGGCAGCAGGTCCCCACATGGAAAGCTAATTATGAATTCCTTTCAGTTTTTCATATACACTGAAGAAAATGTCAGCATTGGAGATATCTTCTCAGAAATCAGATTTTTCCACTTTTAGATACTTCATTGTAAAGGGAGCTCTTCTGTTGTCTAAGACTCTCTAAAGTTTGTGAAAAATAATGGTGCTAGACTATCACTGATTGCCCTGCATACAGAGCATTTGTCTAGAAGATAATGTAAAACTCCATATGCTTCCCATGACATGCTGCCCAGCATTGAGGAGTAGGCAGAGGATTTTTGAGGTTATACACTCTACCATAACATGTTATTGAATAAATTATGCTCTATATGACCTGAAGAGCTTCTCCTTTGATTTTTAATTCACTTCTCCATTTTTTTTCCAAAGTTTGCAGGGCAGAATTGAGAATACAGGGCCGTACCCATGGGTTTTGCATAATTCAGTTGTATAACTCAGTGGTCTCTCACTGGGAGGAATAGCTAATGGTATTAGACAAATCAGTGTTGCATTTTTCTTGACTCGAACATGGAAGCAATAGGAATTTTATTCTGAGAATGTGCCGAGACTACAATTCAGATAAAGTAATGACAAGAATTGTTTTTGACACTGTGGTGGTTTGACTTTGGCTAAATGCCAGGTACCCACCAAGTCACTCTATCACCACCCCACCCCTCACCCCCTTTTTTTCTCAACAGGGCAAAAAGGGGAAAATAAAATAAGATAGGAAAAAAGCCCCAACCCTTGTGGGTAAAACAAAAGCAGTTTTAATATAAGCAAGACAAAGCAAAGGTCCCCGCGCAGAAGCAAAAAAGAAAACAGATTTACTCTCTCCTTCCCATGAAGAGGCGCTGTCGGCCCTTCTCAGGATCAGGGCTCCCATACGCGTAGTGGTTGCCTCGGAGGACCAAGGGTGACCCCACCCCCTTCCTCCTTTCTCCCAGCTTTGTACTGAGCAGACGTCACATGGTCTGGAATATCCCTCTGATCAGTTTGGGTCAGCTGTCCTGGCTGTGTCCCCTCCCAAGATCTTGCCCACCCTGTCCCACTGGGGGGCAAAATGTTGGAAAGATCCTTGGTGCTGTGTAAGCACTGCTCAGCAGCAGCCACACCACCAGGGTGCTACCAACACCCTGCCAGCTCCCAGCATAAACCACAGCACCGTGAGGGCTGCTGTAGGGGAAACCAATTCCAGCTCAGCCAGACCCAGTACAGAGATCTTCATGCTGCTCTACCCCACTTGAGTTTGTCCAGATTTCTTGAAGGTCAGTTCTGCAAGCAAACCTCCTCTATGCCTAACCTGGGATGAATGACTTGAGATACAGCCCTCCAGTTAATTTCTGCTCTTAGTTTTAATGCCTGAGCAGACAGAGGCAGACTAATCAATAGCTTCTATTTTCCAGCTGATGTTCACCTCTGCTATCATTCCTTTCCCCTCTGTAGACAGATTTCTTTCACAGTAAACAGGCATCAGTTCTGCTTGACCAATTCCTTTTACTGTGCTAAATTGGGATGAAAGTAAAATTCAGGCCCCTATAGTCAGAACCTACAGTTTGTAAACAGCGTGAGCTAGAGAGATATACGTAGAATATGAGTATATAAGATACGGACTTTCTATTTTCTTATTTTTTAGTTCTGTCTACCATGACTCTAGAAAACACAGCTAAATTTCAGGGATTAAAAAAAAAAATGTGTAAAAACTAGCAAAATGTCAACCAGAAAATCTGAGCTGAAAATGAATTGCTAGTTAATTATGAGAATGCTCCTTTCCAAACTAAAGTGTTTACTCAGAGGCTGTTTAATAATGTACTAAATGCACATTGCTTGACCCAGTATATCACATGGTATGTACTTATACATTTGCTATTTGCATGAGTCACAAATTTCTAGTGCTACCAGTCCATTTTAATTTCTGTATCTAATCACCTACACTTTTCCAGTGCTTATTTGGTTCTTTTCCTGTAATCTGAAAATACTCCCACCATCCGAGCTGCAGACACTATATCTTGAAAGGAACTAGAACTGGGTGAATGAGTCTAAACTAGCAGACTCCTGTGGCTCACTTTGCATTTCAGGAGGTGGACCCCAGGGTGACTCTGTAGGAATTTTCACATCCTGCTTCTGATTAAATAACTGGAAGGCCACATTTCAGTCTCAGCATGAATACAGCTCCCTGTGAGGGGAATGGAATTGCTTGTGTACATAAAAGACGAGGGTTGGGGCTTTTCCATATAAAATGTAAAAAGCTATCAAGAAATGGTTACAACAAAATATCACACAGCTAGACTTCCAGATACAAAGGTTTGATCTTACTGAAGTGTTCCAGACAGACATTACAAGTGAAGTCAGGCTTATTTTGTTAAATTAACCTCCCTCAAGAGGCCTCTTGTTGGTCGTTCATTACTGACAAGGCAAAGTGTCTATCTGCAGTCAGTGGGATGTGTCTTACAGAACTTGAACAAATGCACAAAGTGACAGATGATTTCTCTTCCAAAGAATTCCTTTGTCTTACAAAATAAGACCTTTAAAAATTGATAAACCCTAAACTTTGAAGTGTGGGAAAGAAAATTCTCTACAAATGACAAAAAGAGAATTAGTGTTGGAACTACTCAACATAGCTGTTTCAGAAATGGGAGGAGCATCCTTGTGGTCAAAAATTTCCTGTGAGATTTTGTATGAAGTGTACCTCATGTACATGAAGTATCTGTTCTGCTATTTAAGAAGCTGTTATGTAGGTGGTGCATAAAAGTGCTCAAGCTAATAATGTTGCCCCGAAGATAGTTTTCTACTATAAATCTGTCTTCACTAATGAGAACATCTGTAATTACAGAAGAGGCACTTGGCTTCATTAGCAGCTCCAGTCTGCAAGGGATCAGCATAGCACTGACATCACTGCTGTCTCTTCTTATTGGCTTTATTTTGGGAGCCATATACTGGAAGGTAAGAAATATTACATTTAATTGTTTACATAGTGATACTACATTTCATAGCTATGGGAGACAGGAAGAACAGAATCGTTCTGCGTTTGAAAACAAGAGACATCTCTCTTGATCCTTACTGAACTGTGTGACATTCAAATGTAAATCTTGTCAAATTCTTTAATTCCACCACCAAAGTGCAAATCCTGTTTTATCAGCATGATAGGTGTCTAATTGGAAATTTAAAACATGGGATTCCCCCAATTTTTCAGTTCTATTATATCTAGAGAAGAGGATTATTTTGCTTTTGCCCCTTGTGCCCCTGCCTACAATACAAAGGCTTTGATAGTAAAATTTTAACAGTAGCAGATGTATGTTAGAGGACAAGATATGGCCTACATTTTGCAATATTACTTTGCTATTGAAAATCTGAAGCAAACTGAAACGTACAACCATTGTCTAAGGAATTGTTAAAGAAAACTTTAGAATATTTATATTTTAATGCATTTTTTTCCTAGAAAACACATCCTAAATCCAGACCAGAAAGTGATGAAACTACACAGTGTCATGACTGTCAAGAGGAAAATGAGATAAGGTATATTCACTTTATATACATATATATAACAAATGTAAGTTTATCTTTGAGAGCTACTTCCTGAAGATTCCTCTCTAGCTCTAAGCCAAACAAAAAAAAAACCCAAACACAAAATCTTGCTGTAGCAACAAAACATATGCTTAGGGTGTGTCCTTTAAAGGAACTTCTAGTTTAAATATAAAAACCAATATGGAGAAGATTTCTGCATACAAAATTTTGTTAAGGGGACATTACTTTTACTTTATCTGTCTTTACACTGTGAGAAAGGATTGCAGAGACCTATAGGGAAAGCAACAAAAAAGGTAAATTTTGGTATTTTCTGTATTGTGTAAAGTTAGGTTGATAATTATGTAAATATATTGAAATATATCAGAAACAATGTCTTCCTGACTATGCTCCTAAATCCTTCTAAATATTTTTACATTAATATTTTTAATGTTCTTTCACTTTTTTTTTTATATTCCCCAGGGTATTAGCATCTATGTTTTCTGGGGGTTTTTTGATGTTCATGGAAAGTTAGTGAGAACTCATTCAAATCCTAATAACTTCCTAAGGTCATCCTGAAATGATTCACAGCCCTATTCATATATAAACACTGCTTGATCTGATTTTTAATCATAAAAAATTCTGTGTAACTCAATCAAATATACCTTGGAAATAACAGTTGAAGACATTCAAAGTTGCTTGGACATGACGGGCAAAGAAGTCTGTGAAATTCAGAAAAGGACATAGGGAAGTTTTAAGTTATAGTAGTTCACGCTAAAGCATTTTGAGAGTATTATTTAACCTCATATTTCAGAGTGTTGGGTCAAATTGTAACTATGAGGGATTAAGGGAAAGATCTGGTGCAGATGGCAGAAGGTTACATTTTATCCTCTAGGATTTGCACACTGTGTGAAATGCCTGGTGCTGCCTACTGTTGGCAGTAACAGGTGAGGTTCTGATCTAGCAGTTTTGTCACAGGAGCTGAAATTTTCAGTGTTTAAACTTCCTAGAATAGTACATTCTTAAAACAAATGTTCTTTATGTACAGAACATAGAATGGAAGATTATATATTCACCAAGTATATTAGTTGCTACAAATAACTCATCCTGCACTTCATCCTCACAGATATTATAACTTGTTAAATGGAACATGCATCGTCCTTTTAACTCTACAGGAAATATAAAACATTGCTTTATTGCAAGAAGAGAGAAAAGAGGAAACAGTTAGATGCAGGAAATGGCCTCAACAGGAAATTTAAACAAGTCACATTCTCCATCAGACATCTTCTTAAATATATGGCATATGGTTTTTAATCCATCCTCCCTGAGAAATTTGTAATACTCATCTATAACTAGGAAGACCTAATAGCAAACAAATTCTAATAATTTGGGTTCCCTTTTATTGTAACTAACTGATAAACTTCTATTTAATTTCCTTAAAACACCATCATTGTAGTAATAAAGTACCTTTTTTTTCAGTATGTTGCAGCAAAAAGAAAAGGAACATCTACAAGTGTAGCTGTTGCTTTTTCTCCCTCAACACTGTTACTGTTTCATGTACTGGTAAGTTGTTATGGTTGAGAGTCTTACCATAGGCTTAATAACTTGGCTGCTGAACTATAAACTGATTCAGAGTCTAATTTGGGAAAAGAAACCCCACTTGTTATCAGTAGGCTCCATGTGCACCTGAGATCTATAGCAATTTACGTAATTAATCCTGTACCGTTAATTTAGGCATTTGACTTTTACCCTGAATGTTACAGAGTTAAATATACCAGAGTTGCAAAATGGACAGCTACTGCTACTCCTTTTTGGTGTGAGAGCTGATACAGTGAAGTTTTCAGCTGATGTCCTACAGCTATTTCAAAGCAGCATGACCTAAAAAACAGAATCCTTAAGCTAGCAGGGGAGTGTAGGAGAACTGGCCAAGTAGAGCTGAACTTCTATTAATTGTTGCTTACTCAGCACAGTTTACAATGTCTGCTGTGTTATCAGAAACATCATTCTTGCTTTAGTATGTAAGAGTGAGCAGCAAAGGTGAGTGAGCTTTTTTGGTCTCTGCTGTCCTCTGCAGAACAGAGTATGTCTCTGGCAAGGGGCTTCTTACAGCAGGAGTTCTGCTGTACTATTTTGCCAATTATTCAATAAGGCCTAGCATAAAGGACACAGCCAGCATAAAGATGAACCCATAACCAAATTGTATTTGATACAAAAGGGGCAGTACATGGGTGAGCACTGGGGGTACAAACAAGTCAGTCACATTATACATAATCAACATCAATCCCACCGACCCCAACACCACCACCACACAACCAACAGTGGGTGGAATAAATGGTGACATGCAGTCTCCCATAGAAGGGACAGGAGACAACTGAGTCAACAAACCAAACACATAAGACCAAGGAAGCCACACACTGAATCTCTACACATCCCACATTTACAAAAGCCAGACCTGACTGGAGCCCAGTCCCAGGGAGGCAGGAGGTCCTTCCCCAACAGGGAACTCTGCACAGGGCATCCACCTCACAGACAGACACTGCCCCTGCCTGCAAGTGGTCCCAGCTGTTATCCCCAAGTGGGACACCTGACCTTTGCTTGCTTAATGCAGACACCTGGGGCTCATTTACCCCATGGTTCTCCCTGCAAGGCCGGCTGCACCCTGGAGGGAAGCCTAAAGGCAAACTCACCCCCCCTTTGTGAAGGGCTGTGGGAATGACCCATATGTCAACCTTGATTTGGGGCTTGGGGTTGAAACCCCAGCATTTCATGTACTTAACCCACAGCATCTCTGGCAAGGGTCTGGAAGATTCAGGCAGTGCTGAATGGTTCATTTTATATCATGAGTGGAAAGAACAGCATAAAGAGTATAACAGGCAATCCAGGTTTTGCAGTTCATCTTGTAGTGGTCACTTTAAGGTGCATTCCAGAGTGTTTATTGTGATCAAGTTAGCTACAACTTGAGAGATTTCCCATCTCCTTAACTGCTTTGTTCTAACATCTGCTCACCGAGAAGGGAAATCATCATTGCATTCAACAAGTAATTTGATTTTTCCAAAGATGTAAACTCAGTTTGGTATTGGCTTGTCCAATGACTTCAAAGGAAATTTTGCTGCCAGAGATTGCCACGTCGCAAAATGCACAAACATAACAGTTCTGTAAGACCATAAGAGTTGTTTCATCACCTTAGATGACATCAGTGAGCTTTTGCAGGCAAGTGTGTTCTTAGACCAGGAAAGTACATATAATAACAATAATTTTTCTTTCAGAATAAAGGAATGTCTATGCATGTGTCATGGAATAGATCTATTTCCAAAAACGAAAAAATGTCTATGTTAGATGTTTGGAAAAGCTCTACTCCTTAATTACTAATTACAGAGAGGAAAATGAATCAGCAAAATTATAATTTCTGTTTTTCTCTTCAGGCAGGTAACAGTTCCATGTTCGCTTCATAAATGAAGCAGTTTTAAGCACATTCGTATTCCTTCTGGAGTGACAGACTGAGTCTGCATCTGTTGTTGCTGCCCATGACTCCATAGACATAATACAGAAATGAGGACAATTTGTGTTTGTTACTGTGAAACCAACACTGAATTGAACGACAAGAAGAGTGTGCACTTAGCAGGACTGTATCTTATGTGAATATCTACCTTGTGTGGCATTTGGGGATTTTTAATTGCATTTTTACTTGCAACTGACTCTGGCAAACAAAGTACATGTCCTCAAAAAAAGCATCTTTCAAATGCCTCCAACCATATGTAATCACTGAAAGTCATAAATACCTTTGCATCCTTAATTTAAATTCTGTGTCCTCTACCTTGGTGTCTTCAGATGGAGTTCTCTGAACTGACAGAAAACGCAGAAATGGATACAGATAAAATACTCTTCAATATTGTATATAAAACTTGAAAGCAAAGTCATGCTATGGACCTGTGTTCTAGCCTTTTAGTTATAAGGAGCTGTGTTTATGCCTGGCAAAGGTCATGTGTACAGCAACGTGTGGTCTCTGTCAGGTGCAAGGTGGCTGGTTGCCCACCCCAGAAAGCGTCAAGATTTCATCAGCATTGGTGATCTCTGTTCAGGAGAAGCAAATACTGGATGAAGACAAAGTAAACAGGAGGTGACTGTACCTCATGGACTTTCAAAGTGTTAAGAGTAACTGCTGGGTATGTGAATATGGTGAAATTTCCAGCCATGCCAAGGAAAGGGAAAGTAAAGAGTCTGAATTGCGTTCAAACATCAGAATAAAGACAAACCCATGAAATGCATTTTAAATGCTGAAGATGGATGCATGCCATTGATACCTTGTCTTTAAATGTATAGCGTGGAAAATCTGAGAAAACCTGAGTGTATTTAGCCTTTATTACATCAGCTGTAATTAATGTTTGCATTGTGTTTTAAGTGATTAGTAAGCTTTAATATCCTGGAATTCTCCACTCTTAAAGTTAATTCTCTCGAAACAAAAGAGAAAGGCTTTGTTTCCCACTTGTCATCTGCATCTATTGCTGTTGTAGCATCTATGAAATCTGTACAGGACTGATGTACAGACACGCGTTTTCAAGTAAATCCTAAAAATACCATGATAAAAGTTACAAGTGTAGTTGTGCATCTTTTCATCTTGGCTTTTTCCAGATAATGGGTATGAATTATTTATCTATATTAGGGGTATGTATTTCAGAAGGTAAAGGTCGCTCACTTCAGATAACACACTGTCATCTGTCATTAGCTGACCAGGTCAGCAGGAGTTCTAGTTTAAAAAAAAAACAACACCACCCTTTTAATGTTTTGCATAAAGTTGGAGTTCTCTTTAAAGTAAAGACTTAGTCTCTTAAATTTTAAAGCATTTTTGTTGAAGTTTTAATATTCTGATTAATCTTCTAAGAATCATGCATAAAAAATTATGATACATATAATATATACGTGTGTGTGTGTGTGCGCACGTGCGTGTGTGTGTGTGTGTGTCTATGTGTTATTGGTAAAATTAATTTGTCCTTCATGCTTACCCAAAAGAAAAAATCTAACAACCTTACTGTGTTTGATGATGGAGATTATGTGTGCCACTCTGTGTGGAATTTTGATGCTTCTGAGACTGACATCAGAACTTCTTGTGAATTGATTTGATCATGTGGAACTATTTTTTTATTTCTTTATTTATACTGAGACCTGTTTGCACTTCCTGGATGTCAGAAAAGGGTCCTCAAGCCCTATTCATCTAGTATAAGTTAGCATAGTTCCATTAACATTAACAGAGATTTGGGGTTTGCATCATCTGAGGAACTTAAACCAGACCAAAAAAAAAGCTTACTGTGAGAATTAGGCTTTCATTTTTATTCAGAAGATGCTGAAGCACTCACCACTTAATAAGAAATAATCAACGTTGCTCATCACTTCTAAAAAAGGAAGGGCTTCCCAAATTTCAGCTCTGCAAAAATCAAACAAAAGAATTCCCCATCTGCAACTCAGTCTCATTTGACATGGTGTAGTTCATTACTTGCAAGGCCCTCAGAGTTTGTGTTTCAAACTCATTTAAGAGTTACCCTGAAAGAAATGCCAGCATGACTTAATTGATGGGAAATTTGCACTTTATGGGTAATGCAGAGAATAACTGAGTATTGGTTTTGACAGAGCAGAAAAATATCCACAGTAAATGGAAGCAATTATCCTTACACATTTTACAGAAACCTTAAATACTTCATGTTGCTATACAATACATCCTCAAAGCAAGCTTATGCTTGAAGTTCTACAGCATTTTTCTTAGAATCATTTAAAGAAAAATCCTATATTTATTAATGTTCTTTGTTCATAAGAATGTTAGTTTTCCTAAATGCGTTTTTTCCAGCAAATCAAATACACAGTGATGTTGCACAATGGTGTGCCCCGAATTACATGTTGATATTCAAAATGCATGATGCTTTAGATTCCTTAGTCTACTGTTCAATAGTATAGAAAATACCAGTTGTAAATTTAAACCCAGATAGACTGCTACAAAATGTTCACCTTCCAAGAATAACATCTTAAAATAGTAGCTAAGTCACTTTCAAAGCATGTCAGATACTTTGATCTCTTCCATACAGCAAGACAAATTTAAGGCTACATGAGAACAGAAAGAAAATTCATGTATAAGCCTTCCAACTTCACATCACAAACATAGTTCTTTGCATAGGCATCAAAGTCATACGACACATGGAGTAGCAGAACTGTTGTTGGAGCTCATGGTTTTCCCGTTCTCTGCACCCCTTTTTGAGAGATATGAACAAAACATTGGGTGTTCACAATCATTTTGCAAAGCAGGACACTTCTAGACATTTGTGGATACAGTGGATGGTGTGGCACTTGGAAATGTGGCCATGAAATTATTTGAAATTTTGTGTCCAATTTGTCTACCCACTGAGGAGGCCCTTACTTTGGTGAAATTTTGAAAGACTATTGACTGGGGAAATGTTTTTGAAATCAATAGAAATAGAATAAGTTACTGTTCAGTGGAAGTAGGAATGGCAGAAATAGTCCTTTAGTTGCTTCTTTATCCAGTTGTAAGCTATTCAACTTCTGAAGAGTGATCACTTTTTCAGTCTTCTTTTGGGGTAGACAGACCTTGTCCACTAACACAGAAAATAAACACCCTTTCTCTTAAACTAAAGTTGGGGAAAAGTGAGTGTTGTATTTTTTATGCAAAAGTCAACAAAATTTGTTTTCCAGATATCTGTGGATTTGTAAGAAACTAACATTTTTAGGTTTCCTTTGGAGTAGTTGAACTTTGCATGCAATTATAGTGGCCTTGTGACAATAAAAAGCAGATTGTGATATACTGAGTAACTCAATGTGTTACTTTAGGTGTGTGTTTACTTGAATATATTAATGGTACTTACTTCCTCACAAGGTCATTTTGTAAGTAAGCTCATGAAATGTGCTATACTATGGTGTATGTGTACAACCTGCACATTTTTTAGATTCTGATCTTCACCAGCTCTGTTTTCTCTGTTGCTTTCTCTTTGTAATATGCTAAAACTGTTCAGTACACACAATACAACTATTCAATTGAAAATCTAACTGTCTATGTAAAATACAGATATTTTGAGTTAGATTTACATTTAAGAATTATCCAACATTCTTCAATTCAGGAATCTAATTCAACTGTCTATTAAATACAGATTTACAGGAATGGTGGCATGTTGCTATTATGTTATCAAATTGATGGAACGCAGAAACTTCAGACTCTTTAGTGATAGAGACACAGATGTTTGCTGGTTGTATTTTGGGCAAATTCATTTATTTCAATGTAAATATCAGCACAGTCTTGCATAGTTACATTCTGACTGAAGGTAATCAACAAAGTTTTTAAAATGTGATGTGTATGTATATATGTGTCCTCTTAAAGATAGATGTTTTCCCAGATCCTTTTTTATACTAGTTCAAATTTGGAATTTACATTATATACATATACTTTATTGTTCTAAATAAAGATATTATGCACTGCCAAATAAGTAGTATATTGCATTGTGTCAGACCCGTTTAAGACCCTTTTTAAAGTCGTGTCATCTCCTGGAAGAATTTTCTGCCAGGATGTATGCTACTAGATGCAGACTCCTTCATATTACATTACATTTCTTATTCATGCATTTTGAAGCCTTGTGCCACCAAAGTATATGTCCTCATTATCAGCCTTCATTGCTGATCCATAGTGTATCTATGATTATGAAAATTATTCCAGCTTCAGAAATAAAAGTTTCTTGTAGCTCCCTAATGAGCTTAAATTTGTTTGTGCCCTACTTTTAGCTATGTATTGGGATTTTAATTTACCATTAAAAAGTCTCAGTGTTGTTGCACTTCTTTTGCAGTAAGTGGCATTTACCAACTCAAAAATTTATTACAAATAACAAGCTTTTTCAGCTGAGACCAGAGCTTATCCCATAAGGATGGAATCCTTCCTTTCAAGTTTCAACAGTTTATTGTGGCTTTACAGTAACAAGCCCAGGACAAGGCATGAGGTTGGGAGGAAAAACAGCTGCTCAGGAAGCTCTGGCACCTCTCTGCTCCTGAGAGAGAATGAAAGGATGCCAACATAAGAGGCAGAGATAAACCTGCTGAGGCTTTCAACCTACCTCAGCGAGAGGTAAGTAGCCTTGGAAGAAAGGCAAGGCTACAGTAGGCAGATATAGGGGGGTTACAAATAGGAGTGAGGTACAGTCAGGGTTGATGAGAAAGAATAGAGAGCAGGGTTATGGGCTGGAAGACAGGAACAGGATTTGAGGCTGACAGAATTTACAGCATGGACAGGAATGAAAGCTGTGGCTGTTGGTCTGGACACAGAAAGAAATGCAGAGCTGATGGGCTTGAAGAAGGCCATGGAGCAGTGGAACTCTGCACTGATGGTGCGGTAGAAGTCATAACAGGAGGAGCAGCCTTGGTGGCTCAGGTGGGGTGGAGGTATGATGGTCACTCGGTTCAGCTAGGGCTAGGTGAGCGCCAGAGGTTGGAAATTAACATACTTCCTATGGAAAGCAGCATTAATGTAACAAAAAGGAAGCAGGCTTGACCTGGAAGTTCAAGAAGGCAGCATTAACAGCAGGGTACCTGGAAATGTTATGTAACAGCTCTTAGATAACAAAACAACTGTTACTGAAGTCAGGAGCTGGTAATTGGTAATCTGGTTCAATGTCCAGATGGAGATCGGTAACGAGTGGTGCTCCTCAGGGGTCTGTACTGGGACCAGTACTGACTAATAGCTTCATCAATGACAGTGGGGTCAGGTGCACCTTCAGCAAGTTTGAGGACAACACTCTGCTGAGTGGTGCAGTTGACACACCTGAGGGACAAGGTGCTGTTCAGAGGGACCTGGGCAAGCTCAAGAAGTGGGCCATGTGAACCTCATGAGGTTCAGCAAGGTCCTGTACATGGGTTGAGGCAATTCCAAGTACAAAAACAGGCTGGGTGAAGAGTGGATTAAGAGCAGCCCTGTAGAGAAGGACTTGGGAGTGTTAGTTGACAAGAAGCTCAACATGACCTGGCAATGTGTGCTCACAGCCCATAAAGCCAATGGTATCTGGGGCTGCATCAAAAGCAGCGTGGCCAGCAGGTCGAGGAAGGTGATTGTCCCCCTCAACTCCACTCTGGTGAGACCCCACCTAGAATACTGCATCCAGCTCTGGAGTCGTCAGCACAGGAAAGACATGGACCTGTTGAGCAGATCCAGAGGAGAGCCACAAAAATGACATGAGGGATGGAACGCTTCTGTGAGGAAAGGCTGAGAGAGTTGGGGTTGTTCAGCCTGGAAAAGAGAAGGCTCCAGGGAGACCTTACTGTGGACTTTCAACACTTAAATGGGGCTTACAAGAAAGATGGGGCCAAACTTTTCAGTAGGGCCTGTTGCAATAAGACAAGAGGTAATGGTTTTAAAATAAAAGAAGGTAGATTCAGACTAGATATAAGGAAGAAATTTTTTACAATGAGGGTGGTGAAACACTGGAACAGGTTACCCAGAGAGGTGGGAGATACCTCATCCCTGGAAACATTTAAGGTTAGGTTGGATGGCACTCTAAGCAACCTGATCTAGTTGAAGATGTCCCTGCTCCTTGCAGGAGGGTTGAACTAGATGACCTTAAAAATTGCCTTCCATCTCAAACTATTTTATGATCCTATGATTCTGTGAATTGCAATATACTTAGATGGGGTAAAGGGTAAGAGTGAAAGCCTGGGAAAATAGATGTAACTCTTCAGCCAAAGAGACACCACCATAATGCTTTCAGTAGTCTGACTTACAATTTTTGGTGTAATTTTATTCCATGTTAACAAACGTGTTACTAAACATATTTTTGCCCAGTTTCTGAATGGCAATACATAAGATGCTTTTAGTTTTAATGAAATGGGTTGTTTTAGGATGTCATGCTACATTAACAACTTATAGAACCACTTCCTTACATGTAGCTATTGATGATAAACTTTCTTCCAAAGTTCCAACATTTCTAAAATTGATTAAGTTTCCCAATAACTACACTGAAGACTGTGCTAACACAAGCAAGTTTCATGTTGTTATATGCTTAAAGCAAATTATTGTGTGCTGATGCATAGTAAAAAATAAGGCTAAATTAAAGCAGACTGGCAAAATTGGGAAGAGTGAGGGAATAGAAGTCTAGCTCTCCTTTTCCTCTACCATATTCTGAGGAAAGTTATTTAAACATTTAACAGGGAAAATACCAAATGTGATTATAGTTCCCCTGACTTGTGGCCCTTTCTGTGAGATCCCACGATAAGCAAGCAGGAACTAAAAATACATATTATACTTTTTCCAGACAGACGTGAGCCTTGGGCTTCTGGCCAGTCACAAAATACAGTGAAAATTTTCATTCTTTTTTGGCAAAGAAGATATTTTCTTGAGCTCATGGAAAAATATTCAAGTGAGATCACAAAAGCTTCTTTGTTTGTCACCAGTTCTGCTGTGCAGGATAATAGCATGATAGTAAAATTGGCCCAATTAGAATAAAGAAGCTGCAGAGCAGAATGTATAGCTTTTGTCAGTTTAAGTGACTACTCCAAGTGACAAAATGTCATTTTAGAAATTTCACCTTGTCATCTCCTACATTGTGATTGATGATTATTAGGACCCCACAGGTTATTTAATCTGTCATGTTCTTAAAGTTAAATATTTTAGACCTTGCTTTTTCTTGGCAATGCTGTCATCATTAACAAAACAGAGAACAGCCTTCACCTTTAGAAATGACAAAAAGGGGATGTGTCTCAAAGCCAATTAAGAGCATCAGTGAATGCAGAGACATAGCATCTAAATCTTTGGAATCACATCCCCAAGAATAATGCAATGAGTTCTTTGGGGTGATTATTCCTTTGCCAGAAGTTGAGAAGAAAGTATCCCATTGACATGGTGGTACTGCTCAGCAGTTTGTTGTTAAACCTTATTTTGTACTGTTCCAGAGGAATCCAACTGCCTCAGTCAGTGAGCACTGAGTTTTCTTGATTTTAAATGCTTTAACCTTTGGATCAAAGAGTTGTGCAAATGAACGTTGCTGTTATGTGCTGTAATTGGTTACTCACTGCATTTCAAATAGAATCACCGATACACAGCAAAGTTTTAAGCAGGCATACTAATGTATCTGTAATGTAGTGTGTGCATGTGTGTGGGATGGAGGAGGGGGAGCGGAGGAGGAGGCAGTGTTTGGATGTAGCAAACTTTACAGGTAACTACAATGAACTTCAATCATACACCCTGAGGGAATGATTGCACGTTACAGAATCTCTTCAAAAATGCAGCCCTTGGCAAGAGTGAGCCTCAGGTTTGCCAAGTGCCATGAACTGATCAAAAGGCTCTCTGGGCACCCCACCCTGAGCTGCACTTCCCAGACACAGACAGCTCAGCACCATCACCCTTTCTGCTCCATGGCTGCACATGCCAGAACCATACACACCTCCCACATCCCTTGGGGGCACCTATAATGAATCCATCTATATTTCCATATAGGCCACCAAGGTTATTTCACTGAGAGTCAAAATCTGGCTCTGGGTTGCATGACTCAAAACAGGTCTTCTGCAGTTCAACCTGGACCATAACTGGAAACTCCCCAAAGCCCCATGTTTGCTCTCTTGTACGCAGAAACTTTGTGTCCTGTTGCTATCCAGTCTGTCCTCCAGCTATCACCCTGACTCCCCATGCTCTCCTGTTGAGTCATACTCTGCAATTAGAGCCTCATATATCCCAGTTGTTCTTAGCAGCCCCATCATTAGCGGTTTTTACATAATTTAGGAAGAAAACACTTCAAATTGTTTAGCAAAAGATTGGACTCCTGAAATTGTCCCAGTTGGCTTAATCCCAAAAGTTGCTGTATTTGTAACTTGAACGAAGGGTGAGGTCACCATGACCACCAGATGTGGACATGGTACAGCTATAACTGGGGTACTGCTAATGTGATGTACTACTGTACAACTGTATGCATGCAGGCTGCAAACATTTAAATTCCCTGCAAGATTTTCCTCAGAGAAAAAAAAAAAAAGGTTATGCTGTATAGGTATGTTATCCCTGTTTTCCTCTAAAAACATCTGCCCATCAGATTTAAAAGCAACAGCTGGTCAGATTAATCAGCTGCTTGTTTGTGTGATCAGTTCTCATAGAGTTCCTGTTGATAAAACTGCCTGAACAGACTGATTGAAGTATAGCTTCTCCTTCTGATGAACCTCTTGTTGTTCTTACTGATTATAGCCTGAGCTCATTTTAATGGGTTTATTCTTGCTGCATCCCCACCACCTCCAGTGACCTTCACATCTCCAACCATGAATTGACTCAGCTCTGGTGTTCTTCCCCCTGCTTACTCCATATCCATTTCCAAACCTTCCTGTGTTGACCAAGGCTGAGGAGCAGTGTGTCTTTCCTGATCTGAGACATGCAGCACACCCACCCAGCATCACCTGGAACTTCTTATGGCCATCCAGTGGCCAGGCCTGCATGCTCTGACCAGTTAGACACCAAGAGGGA